GAACAACTTCTCAATGATCTTTCCCCGGATTTCTAGAGCTCTAGCTCTACTTTCTTCTCTTCCTTATTTTATCATCTTTTAATATGCTTTCGTTATGTACTATGCTATTTCCCTTAATTAATTAATAAAAATCTTTATGATTTTTGTTGTTAACAATCTTTTTGTTAATGTCAAAAGGGGGAAGATAAGGGCTATGCATATATTAAGGGGGAATTTTTTTTAAGGGGGAATTTTTTTTTCAAAAAGATCAAAACCCTATGCATATCCCCGTCTTGTTTGCCATTATCAAAAAGGGGGAAATTGTTGGAACACACTTTGTACGATAAACTAAAGTCGTGTTCATTTCTGACAGGTTTTGATAATTGCCAAACCGCCGTGGATATAAAGAGTTTCGTTGAATAACTCAAGGCGTGAAGAATGGCTTGGAACAAGACCTAAAAGACTCAAGGACAAGATCAAGAATTGAAGACTTAGTCGAGTCGGTCTTTTGTGATCAAAACCGACAATAAATTCAAGTCTCGGTTCTCAAAAAGTCAAAACAATTTTTACAAATCACAAAATATTTTTTGTGCATCAAAACAAACATTTTTTGATGATTCCTTTTATTGTTAAAATCCCTGGTCCTTGCTCAGAACTGAAACCACCTAAGTCGGCGTTTGGCTTTCGGCATTCGGTTTTTGACGCCCGAACCAACTTCGTGGTTTTCAATATTTTAAACCCTGTTTTTACCTCTGAGCATTTTTAAAATGTTCCCAAATAATTATTTTATAAAAACCACTTTTGTATCTTGGTCAATCAGTCTAACACGTGAAAAACGGTCTAAACCGTACGCACGTATTATACGACCTTGAAGACTTGGTTTTTACCAAACAAGTCTTGTTTTCACTATTTAATACCATATACAATATTTTCCAAACCTGGTTTTTACTTTCGGGAACACTTCGTTTTTGGACCTCGGTTTTTCAAAACGGGTTTCAGCTGGCTAGACTTTAGCTGGGTGATAATCGATTATCACCTTAGTGACAATCGACTATCAGCCCCTGCAGCTTTGAACTTCCAAAGTTCTGAAGCACGCAATAATCGATTATCAGCTTTGCAATAATCGATTATCGGTCTTTGCAGCCAAAATCCAGAATCTTCTGAGAGGACCAATAATCGATTATCACTTGTTGACAATCGATTATCTGGGTTACCGTTGTCCTCCAACGGATAGAATTTTAAATTTTTGGACAGGGAATCTTTGGATAATCGATTATCAAGCTTTGATAATCGACTATCAGCCTGTGTCCCTGAAAAATTTGTCTTCATCCTGTTGGAAATTCTAGCAACGGGTTTATCCCTTTTTGGGCTATAAAATGGCACCCAAATCCTCTCATTTTACACACAATTCTTCAACATTTCAATACTCTTTCATTGCACAAGCATTCCTATTTTTCTTAGCTATTTGAGAGCCAATAATTCTTGAAGAAATTGTCGTGTTCTTGAGCGTTTACTAGTTCACTCATATCTACTCTTTGTGAGAGTTTTATTCCTGAGTGTTTAAGTGTTTTCATACACTTTAAGGGAGGTCGTTCCCTTGTTGTAAACTCGAAGGAAGTTCCTTGTTCCTTCGTGAGAAGTCTTGGAGTGCGGTATCTCCGAGCAAAGGTGTT